CTTCTCGACTCTGCATATTCAGGGTTAGGGAAATGAGATCCATTTATTACTGGATTTGGCATATCAATTTGGTCTATTTGGCATAGACTACGGATAGCTTGCCAGGCTCTGCCGTGCGGGTTGGATATTTAAGGTACCCTGAAAACTTAGAGAAAAGTAAATAAATAGTCGCGCGGCTATTGTAGCTTGTTGTGATAATCTCTGGATCCTGGCCGTTGTTGGGGTTACACGGCAGTTGGAGGGTGTAACTGTCTAGCTACTGACAGGTCCAGTCCCAAACTGTGCAGGCTGAGATCTCCAAAATTAGATTAAATTTATATTAATTAAAATGTACAGTTATTTGCTTGATGGCCTTCAGTTTCAGGAAGCTTAAAATTAAGCAGATATTTTTTGGCATTGTAACAATGGCTGGTTTAAGCATTTGTGAAATATAGTTGTTGCCCTTTATATCATTCTTAATGAATTTATTTCAATTTTTATCTTTGAATTTTATCAGTTGTTTCTTTGTATCGCTATTTTTTGCTGGTGAGTACCTTGTTGTTTTGGTGGAGTAGACAATTCCAAAAGTCTGAATAGAAAAAAGATTTATATATAAACACTCATTCTTAATTATCTTTAGTCCCAGCTTCAATATAAAGAAAGCAGATGTTTAAAGTCCAGGAGCTGGAAGGATAGCACTTACCTTGCACTTGGTCAACCCAGGTTCAATCTCTGTCAATCTCTTGTATATGTCCTTCTGAACATCTGGAATATTGTTATTGAAGATTCAATTTTCTGTATCTAGAATATTGGTATTCTTAGGTCACCTCTGAGGAGTGACTCCTGATCACAGCTGGGTGTGACCCAAACCCTCTTCAACTAAAGTCCACAAATACATATTTGAAAACTTTAAAATTAGTAGCTAGTTTACTAAAACCGTTACTTTTTTAAACTAAGAATTAAAAAACAACACTGATTTATTTTACAAAAGTTAATTTAAAACCAAATATGGACTTTATATATAAATATATGCTTTTCTTTTGTATCTTTAACTTTCTCCTAGTGTTAGAGCAGCTGTAATGCTACCACTTTACTCTCAACAACAAATTGAAACAAATCAGGGGAACTAAAGGATAATCAGTATTGATAGAAGATGATTGGTCATGCAATCAGCAGAGGCATTCATTCTGTCTCTTCTTTGAGGGATATCATTGACCAATTTTGATAACCTAGTTTGTAGATTACAGTAACTGCTATCTCTTAAAAATTATTTTTGAACTCCATCTGTACAATATAGAAATACCTATTTAGGAAAGAAAACCATCTATTGCTCTGGAAGAATTTGGCATCAGTTAAGTTGATGTTAAGAACCCTGATTGATTTATGAAGCCATACATTTCTGTTTCTGCTTTGATCAAATGTCAGTGTACATATTTTCCAAAATCACTTGAAAATACAGAGCCTACAATGTCGTTCAGCAATGATATTCATTACCATAAATTGACTATATTTTAGTCTAGTGATAGAGATATAAAGATATTTGTGAGCCTTTATTCCCTGCAGCTTTGCTCAAAAATCCATCATCCAAATAGAGCATTAAATGTCAGTGTCAATTTCCATAGGCTCAGATTGAAAAGTAGGAAAATATAACATCTGTGAATGGGAATGGGGAGTTTGTGAAGATAGTTACTTGTTAAGTACAAGGTTACTTTTTTTTTATAAAGAGAACTTAATTTTATTAACAAATTAATTTCAGTAAAAAATTATGTTCCTTTTGTTTTGTTCTGTTTTGGTAACCCCAGCAATGCTCAGGGGTTACCTCTGGGTCTGAACTCAGGAATTACTCCTGGCGGTGCTCAGGGGGACCATGTGGGATGCTGGGAATTGAACCCCAGTTGGCCGCATGCAAGGCAAACGCCCTACCTGCTGTACTATCACTGCAGCCCCTAAAAATATATATTCTTATAGAAAAATCAGAATTAGTAGATCTGGTGTTACATGTATATTTTTTAAAAATTTTCCCCCAATTATGTAGATCCAATTAATATATCGACTACCAAGGGTTTGTTTGTCTGTTTGTTTGGGGGCCACTCCTGGCTTAGGGCTTATTCCTATCTCTGCTTAAAGATCACTGCTGGAGGCTCAGCTTCAATCAGGGTTAGCTCTGTGTAAAGCAAGCACCTTATCTCCTCAAACTGTCTCTCTCAACCTTGTTTTTAATTTTTTTCCCCTGCTAGGTGATGGTTTTATGGAGTGGAATAATGGCTTATCAGAAAGATTCTTTCAATCTATACAGGTTTTGTAGCTGTCCTATGGCTCTGGGGGCCCAGGAACCTAAAGCAACAGATGCTCAAAGATTCATGTTTATAGCATGAGCAGAACAAAGCCACCCACTAGGGCCATAGTCAAATGACAAAATTTATTAGGAAAGGCAGTTATTAAAATAGAGATGGAAGGACTATGCCTATGTGCACTAGTGAAAAGATGGTGGAGGGAGGAAGGAGTTTGTTATGGCTGAGAAGCAGCTGCTGGAGCACGGTCCTTGGAACTGAAGAAAAGGCAAGATTGAAGTGTTGTTAACACCCAAAGATGTCTGCTTCCCATGTCCCAAGCCACTGGCTGCCAGCAATAGCAAGGCCAGTTAATCTATGTTATTCTCTGAATATGCCAGGTTCCCCCCAGCAACAGCCGGGTTCCCAAAGAAGACAGGACCCAGAGCTTTCCCAGGGCCCTGCGATCTCTAGTGGTCAAGGGGCTGTACCGGGGAGAATTCCAAAACAGGTTCTCTATAATATCCACTGGGAAAGATACATGCCCAGAGAAACTCATTGTTTTGGTTTCAATGTTTTGGTTTCTCATAGTAAATATTAAAAAAATTGTTGTTTGAATTTAAAATACTCAAGGCAAGCAAAGCATGATACAGAAAAATTCAGATCCTGTTTAATACTCCTAGAAGGAATCCATTAATATTGATAATAGGTTGTCAAGGGCATTTTCTAAATAGACAAGCACACAGAGGCTTCCTAATACTGGATAGGCTGGCTACACAGGTGAGGGATGCAGTTCTTATAAAGGAGCCAGAGACAGTGGAAATTTTTGGAAGCTGAGGCATTGGCCCTGATGCTATAGATACCAGTGCTTAGGAGCTAATCTAAGGCAGGCGTGAATTGGAATATCTTACATACATTCATTGATAATATTTTAGAACTAGGATATGTGTTCTGCTTGAATCTCTTTTCACGTTCCATGAGCTTCACTTCATGTGATTTTTGGTGACCTGCCAATGAACAGTAGATAATAGCACTGTAGCACTGACCTCTCATTGTTCATCGATTTGCTCAAGCGGGCACCAGTAATGTCTCCATTGTGAGACTTGTTGTTACTGTTTTTGGCATATTGAATACGCCACAGGTAGCTTGCCAGGCTCTGCTGTGCGGGCAGGATACTCTCCGTAGCTTGCCAGACTCTGAGAGGGACGGCAGAATCGAACCCGTGTCAGCCACATACAAGGCAAATGCCCTACCCGCTGTGCTATCTCTCCAACCCATAGAGTGGATAATAGGAGTTGGTATTTCAGTTTGAAACCATAGTGGAAAATAACAGGCATGTATTCAAAGCTTTTCTGTTTGAATCACAGAGGCACATCTTAAATGCTGTATCTCTGTAATATAGGATATCAGGTCACATGTGATCTCCTTGCCTTGATCTTTACTTCATCAAGAGTCTTTAACAAAATTTTATTAAATTTTATTAAAATAAATTTGTCACTGTCACTCTCACTGCCTTACCGTTATTCATCGATTTGCTATAGCGGGCCTAGTAACGTCTCCATTGTGACATTTATTACTATGTTTAGCATATCGAATATATCATGGGTAGCTTGCCAGGCTTTGCTGTGTGGGCAGGATACTCTCAGTAACTTGCTGGGCTTTCCTAGAGGGGCGGAGGAATCGAACCTGGGTCGGCTGAGTTGACCATGTGGCAAGGCAAACGCCCTATCTGCTGTGCTGTTCTGTCAATTTATCACTTTCCTATCCACTTTCCTACCTGAACAGTTGATGAGGATCTGGTAACTTCACATATAAAACTGAAAAAAAACACATTTTAGTAATCAAAATGTATTTAATTAATAGCACCTTGTATATTTGATAATTAAGTATTAAGTAGCAACAGCTTAAAACAAGGTTGTGAAGAAATCTCAGAATAAATTTATTAAATTAAATTGTTTTATTGAAATTAGGATTACATATTGTTTATCAGTAGTTGAGTCTATTGAATTATAGTAGCAGTTATTTTTTCAATTATGGTACAATTCAATGAATAACCAAATTTTTCTTCCCGCTTCATATGTTTATGGCAATTTGCTAAACATCTTTCACAGGTATAATATGTAAAATTTTTTAAATTATTGAACAATTAAGATATTGATACTTAGCTTAGGACTCGATTCTCCTCTGATTAACTTAGTCAGTTAATCACACATATTTCACTTTCAAAATCATAGTTTTAATAATTTTAGTGACATTGAAACTGTGGCCCATATTCAGTAATTTTTTCTCAATTTTTGTATCTAAAGTTTTATTGGAACATTCCCACTCTCATTTGTTTATATACTTGTATATGGTTTGCCCTATAGCAACAGAATTAAATGGTCTGTGATATTTCTCTAGTCATTTATAGAAAAAAAATGCTGACCCTTAATCTATAAATGATTTATGCTTTTGGATCCTGACTTTTTAAAACAAAATATAAAATAATTTGTAGTGAACTTTTGCTATTTCAGGAATACTTTGTGGTCTACATGTAGCAAGAACAATTTTTTCAAGTAATAAATATAAAAAATTCACATGGAAATTTATAATAAATTTGTATCATGCAGAGTGCCATATGTCAACTTGTGAGATAGTTTTTAATCTTGTAAAATTTAGATTTACTTCAGGGGAATGGTTAAGATTATGAATTATAATTATGAAATTATTTAAAATACAACATTTTTTACTATATTGTTGATGTTTTCTTAGTTGTCTCTGAGATAGAAGTTTTACTGAAAGAGCTGGAACAAATGCTACAGCAAGCACGAGAACCCGCAGCGACACCTGATGAATCTGAAGAGGAACATGGAGAAAAAGTAAATAGAGCAGAAAAGGTAGTATTGGTAGTTACTCTTTTTAGGCCTACATAGAAATATCAGATTCCTTAATCTGCATTTTTAATTATAAAAAAAACCTATTTCACTCCTTAAAGTTCTGATTATCATGAGGTGAATAATAAACCAGCAGCCTATTGAGAAACCAGAATACATCTATCAGACTTTGGAAAAAATGTCTGTTTGAAGAGAGCAGCTTTTCTTAGATCTTTGAGGTTGGAATGAAGAAAGATTGGGAGGATACAACTACAGAGAGACCTCTCCCCTGCTGGCTGCTGGCAGTCTTGACAGTCAGAAGGGGTCTGAATAAAAGCAATTGACTGGGAAATCTCCCTTGTCTCGTTCATTAACAGGCCTCAGGCCTCACAGTAACAACTGGTGCCCATTTGAGCACTGTAGCACTGTCCTCCCGTTGTTCATCCATTTGCTCGAGCGGGTACCAGTAATGTCTCACAACAAATTGTGAGACTTGTTGTTAATTTTTTTTTATTAGTGAGACATCATGAGGTACAGTTGCAGACTTACAAATTTTTGCACTTGGTTGTTAATGTTTTTAGCATATAGAATACGTCATGGGTAGCTTGCCAGGCGTTGCCATGCAGGCAAGATACTCTCGGTAGCTTGCTGGGCTCTCTGAGAGGGGCAGAAGAATCCAACCCAGGTTGGCCAGGTGGGCCTCATGAAAGGCAAACACCCTACCTGCTGTGCTATCACTCCAGCCTGTTTGAGCAAATCAATGAAAAATTGGGAGGACAGAGCTACAGTGCTAACAGTGTCTCTTCTCATACATTCTCACTTAAGCAACTACCTAATCTCAAGACTATTTTCACAGACAGAAAGGTTGGATTTGTAAGTGGACATGGCAGTTTACACATTTTGGTATACTACCCAATTGCAAGATTTCATTCGGAACTTCAAGGGCAGGAATGTTTAAATATATCTTTCAAATCAAAAAGAAATAGAATTTACAGTAAAAGAAATCGATGTGTTACATATTTTTTCTTTATTTTTTTTATTTTGGGGTCACACCTAGCATTGTACAGGGGTTACTCCTGGCTCATGCACTCAGGAATTATTCCTGCGGTGTTCGGGAGAACATTTGGGATGCTGGGAATCGAACCCAGTCGGCCTCTTGCAAGGCAAGGGCCCTACCCGCTGTGCTATCACTCCAGCCCTAAATTTGAAGTTATAACTCTTATTAAGAGTTGAAAAATATTGTGGTTTTCTTAATCAGCACAAGTGATTCCAACTTGCACCTGAATGTGCTGTGTTTTAAGTATTTTTTTCTATTTATTAAGAACCTTAAAACTGTTTTTATATATTTGGGAGAGGGGAAACTTTTTGTATATTTATATGTGTACATATGTACATATGGTGCCCACTTGAGCAAATTGATGAACAATGGGAGGACAGTGTTACAGTGCTACAGTGTCTCTTATTATATAAGATCTGTAGATTGTTGACCTATATCTTATATACATATAGTTAATACTCAAACCAATAGTCTTTGTCTCATGTTTTGATTTGAGCACCAAATGGTTCTGTGCAATGTTTTTCAGTCTTTGTAGTTTGATTTTTTTAAACATACAGCCGGGCTGATTTTTATATAGATGTCCTGGAGCTTTTACAACCAGAGAATTGGCTTGTGTTTTGCCATGTATCTAGTAACTTGACAGAACAAAAAAGCACGTCTGCTTTTTTATTTCTTAACAGTATAATACGGTATATTATCAGCAAAGACCTTTGTTTTGTTTCCAATTTTAATAATAAATGCTTTCAAAAAGTGTTTAAAAATATATAAATCAACAGTTTTAATTTGCTGGCTGACAAGTAAGTGCCTCCTGCTGACTGGCTTACAGCCGGTTTTCTACACTGAGGTACAGAAGTCTGGCATTTGTGCCAGGTTCAGGATACTGATCCCTTGTTCAGTTTTAAATGACAATAACAATGAAATTAGCTATCAAAACTGGAAATTTTTCAATTTAAAAGAAATGATTGCATCGGGAATTTCTTTTATGTTTAAAATTTAGTTCATAAGAAAAAGTTACTATGTCTTCCAAAAGTAACCACATTTAACAGGTGTGTTTTGTTTTTAGGAAAAAAGTAATTTCTTATAAGCTAAATACACTGAAAAGTAATTTCTTATAAGCTAAATACACTGAAAAGAGCCACCTGATAAATCTGAAATCTGGGCATGTTTATTTTCTGAGCAGATATTCTTTGACCTATTTTCAGAATTGTAAACTTTATGTTTATGTTCATTTCACATATGAGGTGTGAAGTTGATTACTCTCAAACATTTTAACCAGTGGATAAGTGTAGTAACATGAAAAAAAGTCTAAACACATTTGTAATCAAAATTCATTTCTATTTGTCATTGATACACTTTCATAGGGTCATTTTTTTCATTGAAGTCACCATCCTAATTATGTTTTTGTTTAGCTAAAATTAATACTGGTTGACATGCCCTTACTTGTCAGCAATGGTAGGAAATTAATTTTAGGTTTTCATAAAATTCATCTGAATAATTTACAAATTAAATAATCCTCATACAAAATAGATAGTTAACTGGATAATTATTGTATTAAAAGGCACATTTTTGATAAATGAAAATATCTGTGTAATCTACATGTATGCAGTATCTTTTATATTTCATGAGAAGTTAATTTTACCATGAATGAAAATTGAAGTTATAAATCTTATATGTATGTGAGCATTATTTTTTATTAGTGTTCTTTTTCCACTATACTCTGCCAAAGTATCTCTATTTGTAAATAATGTAGATGTTTATGAGAAGATGACCACAAAATGCAACTAAACCGTTTTAAGTTGTAATCTATAAACAATAATTCATAAACTAAGGACATATCAAACTCACAGATTTGTAATTATCACATTTTTCCAAAGCACAAAATTAAAACTAAAATTTTATAGTATCAAAGAATAGAGACACAAACAAAATAATGTTATGCTTATATAATATACTTTACTATATGTAAGAATTATTGTTGCCAGCATAATAGCAAACTTTGCATAACAGTTGTGGTTATAGGAATTATTGTCTGGTATATGTTTTGTTCAAATAATTAAACCTGGTGTCCAGATAAATTTAATGTTATTCTCATGAGTTATGTGATTGTTTTCAGTTATGCATTCCCAAAACTTCTACAGACAGTCCATTTGAAAACCACTCTGAAGAGGACGATCTTATAATCGATGGCTTACAATTAAAAGCTGGAGAATGTATTGAAAATATAACAAATAAGTTTAAAGAAATAGATGCTTTGATGTCTGAATGTTAGGCCATTATCTTTATTTTCCAAAGTTTATTACAAAATATTTATATCTTTAATTTTCCCACAAATTTAATTTCCCAAAAATTTAATTGTTATATGAATATGTATGTATTATACCAAAACTTATTTTATAATGATGTTTTACTTTTTTTTGAGAATATCCATTGTTCTTGAGAGCTGATTAAATACTATTAAAACTAATGCTAAAGAGTTAAAATTTAAGAAATTCTGACATCTGTGTTTGTAGATTTTTTGTCTTAACTTTTAAATGTTTTGTGACGTTTGCTGTACAATACATGATTTGAAATGATTATTTAGCCTCTATTCAAATGTGACTTACTTGAATTTGTTATAGACTCATAATCTTTAGAGATCACTCAAATATTTTATACTCAAAGAAAATGTTTTTATAGTGGAAATAAGCAATTACAAAAATAAAAAGGAATAATAAAAAACATATACAATAGATTTGGAGCTTTTCTTAAAAAAGAAAAAAAGCCAGTTTCCTTTTTATATTACAAATAATCATTTAGGGCTGGAGCGATAGCACAGCGGGTAGGACGTTTGCCTTGCACACGGCTGACCGGGGTTCAATTCCCAGCATCCCATATGGTCCCCCGAGCATCACCAGGAGTAATTCCTGAGTGCATGAGCCAGGAGTAACTCCTCTGCAATGCCAAGTGTGACCCAAAAAGGAAAAAAAAAAGAAATAGTCATTTAACTACAATTGCCAAAAATGCCTAATTAGTAGAGTGTTTGTAGGTCTTTGTAAGACCAGACTCCTATACCATTTTTCATTGAATCGTATCTCTGGAAGTGAGAATGAGAAAAAAATTAATAAAACATAACGAGATAAGCATACTAAGTACACCTTTTGAAATACCACTCTCTTCTCCCTTGAAACCTTATTCTTCAGGGATTCTTCATGAACAGTTCTAAAAGGTGTTAAACATGGACTCAACCTTGTAAAGATGGGTTAAAGAGGCATTTAATGTAGATTTAGGATTGTAATCCAGACATGGATCTAAGAAACGCCCCCACATCTTGTTCTTAGCTGTCAAATGGGGAGGACATATACACACACAAATGGAATTTTAAATTAGTTCTAGGATACAAATCAAACTCAAAGTCAGTCTAGTTCCATTTGCTGCAAAAATATGCAAATTGATGAAGAATGAGTAGAGCCATGATTAAGTTTTCCACCTTGGGCCATCTTGATGGCTGATTGTTTGTTCCCAGAGGTAGATGTTTCAGAGTTTGTTGAGGTATGCCTGGACCTGCCTGGACATGACTCGCTGACCCAATAGACTCCAGACTTGTGTGGTTTTATGCAGACTCAAATGGTTCTATTTAGTTTTTTTTTTAATTACTTTTAACATTCCATGTCTGTGTCTTTCTAGATCTTGTTTTATACACACACATCTCAAGTTTCAGCTTTGTATATTTCCCTGCCCATCTCTCTCTCTTGGGTCAGGAGATGGAGAAAGGGCATTCCAAGATTATAAAAACAAGTTCCAAAGTACAAGCGAGAATAAATGCAAGAGAATTTTTGGCACTTGCTATTAGTTGAATTCCCTGAAGTAATGCCTAATGTGAGAAATTAAGCCACAAAAGGGAGGACCATGCATAGGAGCAAGGAACTCATAGTTGTAAGGATCAAGTAAGGATCTTTAAACAATGGAATAAGGTGTATATTTCAGAAAGATCATAAAAGCTGAAAAGTGGACAATTAAGTGAGAGAGTGGCACTAGAATTAGGGGCCTCTTACAGGTAATCTTGGGAACTCAGGGGATTCTAAATTGACATCAGTAAAGTAGTAGGGTTTAGAGATTGGATATAGGGATGAGACAGAAAGAATTAGGGATGCCAACAGACTTCAGGTATTCACATGTGTTATTCACTGAGGTAGGACACACAGATGAGAAACAGGATAAATACCACATTGGGGCCTAATGTGTGAGTTCAGCAAGGATTTCAAGCTATTCATTACTATAGTGTGCATTTCAATAAACCATAAAACCAAAGTGAGTAGGAATAGTGTTATCACATCATATTTAAATTCTAAATGCCATACAAGAGTGAAAGTTGAGTTCTCCTTTTTTATTGTAGCTGAATTTACTCCACAGTCCATCAGAAAAAAATCTTTCATAGAAATATGCTGCTGTCCACACATCCTGAATGATATCTCAAGAAATAATTCGTCCCATTTTTGTTTTTTTTTTTGTTGTTGGTTGGCAGTGGTTTAAAATCAGCTATAAAGATGACTAGAACTATATTAGAAAAATTTTATCTACAATTTGTATTTTTAAGATAAACCTCCCTCTGAAAGATTAGTTTAATCATGTACAGCTAATTATTCTTAGTGAAACAGACTGCTCATGAATGTCAGATTTCATAGGTAAAACAAAGACATTTCTAGACTGAGTTCTTCTTTGTTGTTCTAAGTTGTTAAAGTCTGGAAATTCCACTAAAGCTTCTGTGCCCTTGAGCAGCTTAAAGTAAATTTTAAGAACAGTAACTTAGGTAAGTGATGTCTGTAAAGGATAGAAAGGGCCTCTATACATATAAGAATATGGACTTTCAAATTTAAGATGGAATATTCCTAGAAAAAGATGGAATATTCCTAGAAAAAAGGATCAAAGTTTTCAACTTATGTCTTTGTCTTTTGCGTTGAGAATGATACTCAATTGACAAATTTTCCTACTGGTAAATATCCCATAGTCGAGTCAGGACATATATCAGACCAAAGTCCAGCAGTTAGTCTGTGGATCCAGAATGCCTTCCTTCAGATCCTAGTGCTGCTATCTACTAGTTGGGAGACCTGTGATATATTATTTAAATTTTCTGTGCTAAGGTTTATTTCCCCTCCTATACCAAATTCTTAGGAGAGCAGCTTAGCTACCCCAACCACATTAGACCAGTAGTTCACCAGTCTATCTCAATCAAAATAGCACTGAAACTCACCAAAATAATGGTGAAGACAAGAGTCTGTACAACCCAATCTAAAAGAATGCGTCACTGAATCAGTGTTAGAAACCCCACACAAGTCACACAGAGCACCAAAGATGAAGATAATATTCTTGAAGGGGAAAGAGGAGACCACCATCTACCAAGCTCACCCAGCGTCCTCCCTGGCAGGGAGAGCGGGACACTGACTGTGAACTAGAAGGAACCACCTCCATACAACCACAGCATCATGGGGAAACAATGCAGATCCCCAACACCAGGAGTATATAAATAAAAGAGCCCTGAAGCCCCAAGAAGGAATACCCACATACATAATCTCCTTGATGAAGAATTTAGAGATGAAATAGGATGTTTGATGAGCTCAAAGAAATAGTGCAATGGACATCCAATAAAATACAGGAAGATATGGAAAAAAAACAGTGAAATGGGCAACCAATAAAATACAGGAGGAAATGAGAGTAGAAATAAGAAAACTACAAACAGAAGTGTCACTAATAAAATAAACTCAGCAGATGAAATCAAAAACTCAGTGGATGCCCTCAACAGTAGAATGAAACTAGCTAAAGGCAAAATCAGTGAGCTTGAAGATCAGCTTCAGAAAGCATCCAGGCAACAAAGAGGATGGAAAAAGACCTCAAAAGTAGACTATAGACCAAACATGATTGCCACTCAATGCCTCTCCTGCAAACCACAGGACCCAAAAGTATAGAGAGAGAACAAAAGGGAATGCCCTGCCACAGAGGCAGGGTGGGATGGGGGGATGGGGGGTGGGAGAGATGCTGGGAACCCCTGGTGGTGGAGGATGGGCACTGGTGGAGGGATGGGTACTTGATCATTGCGTAACTGAAACCCAAGCACAAAATTTGTAAGTCTATAACTGTACCTCATGGTGTTTCACTAATAAAAATAAATAAATAAATAGCCCAAGGGCAGATAAGAGACATATGGAATGTATTCAAATGAACTATCGGAGTACCAGAGGCAGAGGGAGGCAACCCCAATGATGTAGTAACAGTTAAAACAGCACTACTGAAAAGTTTCCAGAGCTGGAAAAATGCAGGCATCCAAGAAGCCCTAAGAGTACCAGCTAAAGGAGACCTTAATAAAAAGACTCCACAACATATCATAATCAGAATGACAAATAGCATAGATAGAGACACAATACTGCGAGCAGCAAGATCTAAAAAGGAAATCATGAACAAAGGAGCATCCCTTAGATTTACACCAGACTTATCAGACAAAACCCTTGAGACCTGAATACAGTGGTAGGATATAGTGAAAAAAATCAATGAAATGAATTCCTTTCCAAGAGTACTTTATCCGGCTAGACTCTTATTCAGATTTGAAGGAAAGACACAATTTCAAGAATTAACAACAGCTAAGGAACTTCAGGGACTCAAAGGTAAAGGTAAAGGCCCTCCCGTTGATCGTCGATTTGCTCGAGCGGGCCCAGTAACGTCTCCATTGGAGACTTTGTTGTTACTGTGTTTGGCATATCGAATACTCTCGGTATTAACCTTAAAAGAAGAACTGAAGGGGCTACTGTAAGACAAGATAAACCCCACAAACACAACAAACTTCTGCAGAAAAATGGCACAAAACCCCATGACAATCATCTGTCAATGTAAGTGGTCTAAACACACCAATTAAGAGACACAGAGTGGCAAAATGGATTAAAAACATGACTCCAACATTCTGCTGCTTACAAAAAAACACATTTGAACAGTCAGAGCAAACACAGACTCAAAGGCTAGAAAACAATTCAGCTTAACTAAGAAGGTAAAGGACCTGTACAAAGAAAGCTACAAAAGGGTACTTCAAGAAATAAAAGAGGACATAAGGAAATGGAGACTTGTCCCTTGCTCATGGATTTGGAGAATTAATGTCAAAATGACAATATTCCCCAAAGCAATATACAGATTCGATACAGTTCCTATAAGGATACCTATGACATCTTTCAAAGAAATTGATCAAACACTCCTCAAATTCATATGGAACAACAAATCCCCACACGAATTGGGATGGGTGGGAGGTGGGGTTCTATTGGGGTTCGTGGTAAAAAATAAGTATTGGTAAAGGGAAATGTGTT